GAGAGAGAGAGAGAGAGAGAGAGAGAGAGAGAGAGAGACGATAACTCTCCGACCTCCCGGCTCGGGCCATGCTACTTCCATCGATAGGATGAGCAACATCCAATGAATATTCGGCTAGAACATGGAAACGTACACTACCTGGTTGAATTTTCGTTACGGAATGGTGCATCACGCACAGTCCCGCGGCCACTAAACACAGCACCGGCATCACGCGCGGCCGGCCGTGATCCACCCTCCGCAGCCAGGAATGCGCCGCACCGCCGCAACGGGTACCCCCGTGACGCCGAACCGTCCCATTCATCATGGAATGGTGCATCACGCGCGGTCCCGCCGCGGCACCCTTTGCCCTCAGTCCCACTCAGGCCGTCGGCCTCCGAACAGATTTGCGCCTCCGCGATCCCGCAGCACCCTTCGCCCTCAGTCCCGTTCGGGCCGTCGGCCTCCATACAGATTTCCGCTGGGCCCAGCACAGGGCGTTACGGTGGGCCCATTGCAGTTTTTATAAGGTATAGAGAAGAGATACTTCCGATCATTCCATTTCTGATCTTCATATCGTCTATTCTCTTAATGATGCTCACTCGTATGTATTTGTTAGTAGTACAAAGGGAGTGGAGGGGAGGGTGGAGGGTAAGGGATAGAAGGCGGAGTTCTCTAGGAGTACGGGGCAGAGGAGTTAGGGGCAACGGGAAGGAAAGAAATATGTGGAGGGCAGGATAGAATATGACATGCAAAGACCAGGGGAAAGATGTATTATGGGTTTCACATATTTCTAAATATTCACCGCTGAACCAGTGGAAAAAAAAACAAAAAAAAAACTATGGCGACTGGCCACCCCTACAGATCAGACAGGACCGGTTCGGGTGTGGGCTATGAAAGCACCGCATCAATTTTTGCAGTCACAGTTGCTGCATCGAATGGCACAGCGGAGACAGATGTCACAGGCTACGTGGCTCGTACATGCTATAGGAACACAGACGCACGTCAGCCGCAATTATAGAGGCATTGCCGTTCCAGCTCCCGTCTACAAATTGGACATGACATGTCGGGGTGCCATACATGAGTACAGTGCCGACTGTCATCGTACGTATGGAAGCAAAAACTCGCATGGACTATACCATCGTAATCCTCACAGCACAAGGCATGTGAACCACATGCTAGTTGCATCTCCGGCGGGTCATCACAAAACGGCATGGAGCATCTTTCTTGGGCTTCCTCAGTATGTATTCGCTCTTTATGGGCAGACGACCACAGGGAGGATCGGTCCAACGCAAGGGCATTCAGCTGCTGCAGGATATGATCCGCAACAGCTCGCCCTCGTGGTGACAAACTATGAACACATCACTCTGCCGGTGGTTCATATAGAAGTCTATTCTCCTCGGACTGAGCGATGTGTTCGGCGTTCTTCTCGCAAGAAAGAGCGAGATCCGTCAGCGGTTGCCATAGGTTTATGTCCAATGCCGCATGTGCGACATGCTAGGAGAGGATGTGGAGGGTGATGACACCGGGGATAGTCCATGCCGTGACGACACACGTACGTTCTATGACAGCTTCCTGGAAGCTTTGACAACACATGGCATGTTGCTGACATCTAATTAGTATGGGAGGCTGACGTGCACAGTTATTTAAGCATTTCAGATCAAGGCCACAACCGCATGCTGGGCAAGTAATCAGGAGGTGGGGGGGATGCTGGGCAAGTAATACGGGGGTGGGGGGGATGAGCACAGGACTGGGGATGACAATTTTCGTGTGAGAGGCTAGCAGCGACCATCCATTCATAGTGTTCGGAGCAGAGGCTATGCCCTGTACACGCCAACCGAACTGTACCTGTGCGACAACACAACAGGAGGGCACAGCCATCATCCTGTGGAGACGTCCTTTCACTGTTTGTGGTAGAATCAGCCGGATTACTCTCCGGGGGGTGCAGTGCTTGCAAATGCTCATCGACATACTGTTCCTGATGGATGAGCCAGACTGGGTGACCCTCCAACATTTGGTGATAGAAAAAAGTTAATATTTCCCACTGTGTGCACCCTACCGCCATTGTCCCATAGGATCCATGAATTATCTGCAAAGGTAAGAGCACTGACGTGACCTGGACGATAAAAGATACATGCCCGATTAATCGGTTCCGTGCCTGGCTCGTGGTTTTGCAGAGCAGTCGCCTACCCATAAATGCCACAGCCAGGACTTCTATGTTCACCCCAGGCGCAGCGCTGTCGTCCTCTGGGCAGACGGCACGGTGCTCTTCTTCTATCCAGCGAACGTCTGCGCAATCAGCAACAGCATAAGGATTTCAATTGTAAGCAGGAGAGTTACATTAACGGCATGGCATCCACAGCACCCTCGCTGTAGCACTATGACATTGTCTGATTCCGCATGTTGCGTGTGGGATCCGTTTACAGCAGCTGGATACTCGTTCTATTCTGCAGGTTGCGCAGGTGGCGAAGACTCGTGGTCTTGACCAATTGGCCCCGGTATGTGCTCCAGAGAGAGATGATCTTCAGCCGGGGGCTCCGTCAGGTAATCAGGAGACGGAACATTGTCATCTGGGGCAGTGGAGCAAGTGGGACTAGGTCATTATAACTGTGTATTTAGACTCAAAAATGCACCAAGTACAGCTATAATGTACCGTGCGTTGTATTCGGGGAAAGAAGGCAGATCCTGCACATCATCTTGACGCGGTAAACCGCCCCATCATCTTTCCACCTAACAATAAAAATAAAAATAAAAATAAAAATAAAAATAAAAATAAAAATCCTGCTAGGATGCTTTATTGCGACTGCAGCAAACAAACTTTCCTCTTTTCCGTTTCTGGCCCTTCCTTTTTTCAGTTCTAAATCCACTCCAGGCATCCCTCGAATACAACACATCCCCACACAACCTTAAATCTGGGATGGGTACATTCACGATTTGTCTCGCTTTGGGCCTACTACATTCACAAATCGTAACTGGAACGCATTTTTTCCCTTCGTTAGGCGCAGGAGAACATTTCTTAGCGATTGGAATTCTCAGGGGAAGAGGCATATCTCTTCACCCCTTCACAATTCGCGTATATCGTAATTTGCCAAAAGTGCACAGCAGAAATTACCTGCGCCGACACAGGGCCTGGCTCCACTACTCACCATATGTGTGGAAAAACGAACGAAGGAAAGATTCCCCCACTAAAACATATAGAAAGATACACAGCCATAATTTCCGTCTTTCGTGCCCAAGGTGAGTACTAAAGCGATGCCCCCAGTAGAGCATTTGACGTCACAGATCCCACCACCCAAACAAATTTTTAAAACCAAAGAACAAAAAGAACAAGAATAACAAAAAGAACAAAAAGAACAAAAAGAAGAAGAAAGAACAAGAAACAACAAGAAAGAAGAAAGAAGAAAGAAGAGCGTCTGGCCTTGTGATTTTGACCGAAAACTGAAGTGATTACATCGTTTGCGGTATTTCGTGCCTAGTGTCTAGCGTACGAAAATCCAGATGATGCTTAGGGGCCGATGATGGATGGCCTCCCGATCCCATCCATTGTCACTTTGAAAATCTGAACTCTTTCTTTGACTTGTGCATGTCATGCTCGAATGCTTAGGGGCCGATGATGCTAATCAAACTCCTCTATCTCTGTACTATTATCATTCCAACCATTTCGTGCGGACGTCCCGCACCTATCTGGTTGGTGGTCCCCACATCCCCCTATTACAAACCATGACAAAACATCCGCTCGAATCCTCACAGACTCAGATATAAGAGAGAAAGAGAGATGGAATTGGGTTCAAACCACGTAAAGCAAGACGGTGTGTGTCGTCACCGTCCTGCCCATGAAATACATCGGCGACGGTCGACCTGATTGATCGGCCACATGGCAGATGCGTACTTCCTTGGCCGCATACCTGCCAGACGACCATCCCCACCTGAATAGAACGCCGGGTCATTCCAACCGTATTTTGTGAGACTTTCGCTTCAGATGCAACTACATTGGCTCTACACTACCATCTGCATCTGAAGCGTACTCCAATCTGCATCTGAAGAGTACTACAATCCTCACCCGAATAGAACGCCCGGTTGCAGAGCCGTATCATTGATTACAGCCGTACTACAACGACCGGTCGTTCTTTCCGGGGGAAGATGGTAGTGCAGAGCCATTATGGAGCTGCTAGACCTGCCACGTGGCAGACAAGAAGCTCAACAAACAAAATCACGCTGCTTAATCTGACGCGTTGCAGAGATGCAGATCATAAACTACGCCAAATCGCATGTGTACTTCCACGCAGTATTCAATGCTACAAGCAAGCACTCAGATTGGAGTTCATTGCCGTCCATCATGTTGCGATATGCTCATCATTTCATGGATTGTTTTCCAGCGATTTTGCACAACTGACACGCGTACTTCCATGTTCTCTTCAATGCTACATGCGCTCGGGGGATTGGAGTTCTTTCTTCTGTCTAGTTGATCAGGTAGTGTAATGCTGGTCATTAAGTGGGTTTTTTCTCTGCAATTTGGCACTCTTACAAAACTGGCACGTCGCAGTCGTCAATTGGRGGGGGGGGAACACAGCCCAACGAATCGAATCACATCCATCCGGACATATATTAGGGTGATTCAAACATAATTTTCTCTGCAATTTGGCACTCTTACAAAACTGGCACGTCGCAGTCGTCAATAGAGGGGGGGGAAACACGGCGCAACGAATCGAATCACATCCATCCGGACATATTAGGGTGATTCAAACATAACAAGGAGACGCTGACAAGGAGAGAGAGAATTGAATAAACAACAAATCAATAAAACACATGAATCCGTGCAAAGAACAAAAAACGCTAGCACACCCGATCGTACCCGATTTTCGTAAAAACTCAATCCACTCAAAAATCCGATCATCAACAACCGTATGCCATCATTAAGGCAGAACGCCTTCGAATGAGTTCAGAGCCACATATCCTATCCTGCTTGGAAAGCGGAGAACAGGTAGGTTCTTCTCCCTTTCTCCCTCACAATCTGGGAATCTAGTCGCGCGCGTATTCGACCCGTCATCCAGACTCTACTTCCCTTCACCTCTCCTTCTCCCGACGAGGGCGCGTTCACTTAAGCCACATCGTTGATCGTGACCTCAACCTCCACACCGGGCTCGATGCTGATGGAAGTGATCTGCTTGACGACTTCCGATGGACTGTGGAGGTCAATCAGCCTCTTATGAATTCTCATCTCAAAGGAATCCCACGTGTTCGTACCTGAAAGACGGTAAAAGAGAATTGAACAGAAAAAGTCAAGAAACGAAACGTAGAGAGACCACAGCGAAGGAGAGGAGGCAAACAATGCACAAAGAAGACCAAAACAAGAAGGGCAAATCACGACCAAGAGGCACGCACGAAGGCAACAAAGAGGCGAAGAAGTTATTAGTTACCCCAAAAAGTTTCCTATTCATTTTTTTCTGACGACAAAGTAAGGGATGAAATACTATGCGAAGGGGTTTAGCGTTAAACACCGCCAATCGGGCTGCCATTCATGAGCGAGCTTCGACCACTGAGCAAGATCGAATTCAAAAACACTATGCGTGAGTCTTAAGCAAGCCACTTAGTAGTGAATCACCCACAATTCATAATCCCAAAGAACGTAGTAAATCACCCTTCATCGAAGTTAGGAAGGGTAGTAAATCACCCTTCGGCCAAGGAAAATCACCCTAACTAAAAGAACGTAGTAAATCACCCTTCATCCAAGTTAGGAAGGGTAGTGAACCACCCTTCGGCCAGGGAAAATCACCCTAAGTGAACCATGACGAGTTCCAGGGGAGGGACGATGCACTCCACACTCTCAATAGCGGATCAGTCATATGACTGCATCATCCAGAAGAACGTAGACTCAGCGGGAGGGCACATGGAAACCAAGGCATTGGAAGAATTTTTGAACAGAATTAGTCATGACTTGAGGAGATTTTCAAGCTTCAAAAGGCTGCCCTTTAGTATCAGGGAGCCACCATCGTCAACACAATCATTCCCTGCCGCTTCACTACTGCTCAAGTATGATTTCCTATTGAGAGAAAAAAGGACGAGAGATGGATCTGTACTAGAAAAGGAGCAGTAAGGAGACGTATATAGTGGTGGAAGAGACGTGCACAGGGAGAAATCCCGCCAACGACAGGGGTAAGAACGCAGGCTGAACAAAATATCATTTCGTACTTTTTTGCACATTTACCCTTTCCGTCCTCTTTTTGTTTTAACCGTTTCCGCCCTCCTTTTCGTCCTCGTTTTGAGCATTTACCCTTGGATTTCGCCCTCTTTTTGCGTCTTTACCGCCCTCTTTTTGCGCATTTACCCTTTGGATTCCGCCCTCTTCTTGCGCATTTACCCTTGGATTTCGCCCTCTTTTCGCGAATCATTTACCCTCTTTGACCTCTTTTCGCGCATTTAACTTTTGGGGCTCTTTTTGTACATGTATCCTTTTTAGCCGTCTTTTTGCGCATTTACCCTGTCTTTCTTGTCCTCCTTTGCAAAAAGAGGGACGAGTCTCGGAAAGGAGGGGCGAAAACGCAAATAGAGGCAAAAGGGGACTAGAGAGTCAGATGCTCAAAAAGAGGGCAAAAAGGAAAGGGTAAATACTAAGGAAAAAACGGAAGAAAAACATATGGAAGCAATGACGAAACAGTTGGTATTCACAAGAAAGGATAGAGAGTTCAACGCCTTCTCCACGTTGAGTCCATAAACCCTAATCCAACAATAGGACTCGACAAGCCGAGGAAGTACAGGTAGCAGGATAACACTTGTGGCAGCAGAGGAAGTAATTGATGACCCTTAACCCTAAAGTAGGACGAAGAACAGAAGGAATAGGACTCACCTTCTCCGCAAGGAGACTTCCTTGTAGTGATACGCAGAACCTTTGTGGGCATCCTCACTGGACCCTTGACCTTCAAGCGCTTCTCCTTTGCGCCTTTGATCAAGTCGGCGCACACTGTTTCAAGATAACAATGAAACAAAAGAGCGAGTTCAACGAATTCAGTTGGAAAAAAACACAGGCTACGGTGGTGTTCCTTATCTCAATACCACAAAGCGCAACTCTCAACAAGTAGAAACCCTAAAGACCTGCCAACCTCTCCATTGCGGAGGCGGAACAAATCATCGCTCGTCTAACACGAAGGAAGACCCATTTCAAACGAGGGATCAACGCACATTAAACTTCTCAGAATGCTAAAACTGGCACCCCCAAACTCCGAAATTTTGAGCGTATCTCGGCAGAAAACCATCTCGTCCTTGATCAAGCGCACCCCCAAAATGGAAGCCACCCCCCCCCCCAAGATGGAAGCCACCCTCCCCCCAAAATGGAAGCCACCCCCCCACAAGATGGAAGCCACCCCCAAGATGGAAGCCACCGGCGCCCAAGATGGAAGCCACCCCCAAGATGGAAGCCATTCTATTTCCCTATCTCCCAACAATCCTGGACACGGATAGAGTAACAAAGATGAGACGGGAACTGAGAAAGTTAGAAAAAACTAGTCGATAGGATTCTACGTGCATCACCCTGAATACCGGCTGTACAACAGAGTACACTTCTCGGTATCCACTTCATGAAACTGGCACGTCCAAAGCGCGCCTAAAACCAGAAAATATCAAAAACTTCCAAGGCGCGCCGAAAACCAAAAAGGAGTACCAGAAACTCTCAAAGCAAGCGCCGAAAAGAAACAAAATGTGGCACAAGCACTTAACGCACGCCGCAAATGAAAACACATTACACATATTCAATCTCTGATTTCCATACAAATCACACCAGGCGGCAAACGAAAAAAAAAAACACTTGCTTTTCACGTATGGAACAAATCAGCTCACCTTTCTCGAGGTTCTTCACATTGCGCGAAGTCAGCGTAATTCTAATTCGATGAACGACCTCCGCCTCTTCCATGCCCATCTTCCCCGGGCCCGTACCCTTCAACAACATAGCGGCCGACATTTTCGTCGATTTGTTTTGATTACCTGATCAACAAACTGCTACCGAAGAGCAGCGAAAACAACACAGCCAAAGAAGTACAAACAGATACCAGTCTCAGTACACAGCAGCCGAATGTTTAACAAGTACTTTGCTGTGAAACCAGACAGATTTAAAAACTGCAGAGCCCTGCCTGCGTAAAATACTATACTATTTACTGTATGCTGCGCAAAAGCCGTCCGTCTCTCTCTCTCTCTCTCTCTCTCTCTCTCTCTCTCTCTCTCTCTCTCTCTCTCTCTCTCTCTCTCTCTGTGTGTGCCTCACCTCAGAGACCGGCTCGGATCTTATCTCCTCCTCTTGTAACCCTACTAAGCCCATCACTGCCCTTCCTCCACCCATAGTTACTCCCATCCTGCCAGTCCACGATCTGTCGTTTTCACGAAGGACCTCCCAGCAAATACTTCGATAACTCTCTGGTCGCCTTCCTCCCTTGCATCCTTCCAATCATGTATGATTAGCAACAGTGAGATTGTCAAGAATAAACAATAAACAGGTCGTCAGATATTGAAAAAGCCACCAATCATGGCCCCTGCAGTTGGGGTTTCACCACCAAGTCTCCCGCCTGCCATCATCGAGCTCTCTTCTGCCTCTCTCACGACCCTCCCCATATTCCAGTGGTTTCCCCCCTCTCCTTTCCCTGACCCTTGTAGTACGGGCCTCGCTGCACTACTCTTTACATGCGCAAAAGAAAAAATCATGGCCGCGTATCTTTCCATATTCTAGCGGAAGATTCACTCTCGTTTTGCACATTTCGAGAGTAGTGCAGCGAGGACCACTTCAACGTCACCCGTACATTCCTTTCCAGGCTCACCTGTGCGATAAATTGTAGGAGTTGGTCGTATGTGTCCACGCTTTGAAGACGCCTCGGTGGTGAAGGTGGCGCTGCTGTAAGGAGCGACGACGAAAAAGACGAGGGGAGGGAGACAAAGCGATGGCGTTCCCGAGACAGACACCGCGACCGCGGCCGCTTGCTGAGGAACGATGGTGATCTGAAAGAATTCGTGTTTTCTTCGCTCTACACTTTAAACTGGGTCATTCACAGGGAGTGCCCTTCAGGGGGAGTGGGTTCACGGACCTGAACAAGGTCCCGCGGCGCCAAGCGCCGGGCCTTAACGTTTGGCCTCGGCAATGGCCCATACCTCCTTGCCAGTAAGGCCAGCCCCCACTGGGGGGGGCCACCTTATGGCCAACCCCCACCTGGGCCAAGTCCCACTACCGGGGCAAGGTCCCACTTGCGCAAACTACGAGATTTCGGCCGTCGATCTTTGCTATCTACGGTCAGTATCTCTTAACTCGTGCAAGTGGGACCTAGCCCCCCGGTAGGAGGTGTTTAGTACAGCTTTCGAAAAAGTGTGCGGCATGATGCGACGCTGAAATGAAAATCAGAAAAGAAAGAAAAAACAAAATCAGAAAATGGATGGCCTGTCAGGCCAGACCGAACTGTTAGACCACGCCCAGCGTGGTGGTGCAGCTCGGGGCCGCGGCCCAGATGGCTTGGCGTTGCACAATTTTTGATCAGTGTGCGACATTGTGGGGCGGCTCGGTTTTTCTGACTGGTTTCTCATTGCCGTACGGGCCCTGTGTCACGGTGAACCGGAAGGAGAGGCAGCGTATCATACTATGCATTATTTTTTGCATAGAAGCTACACGTCAGCGGGCACAGCCAAGAAGTGCTGGAATGCACACCACATTAGGGGCATAAAAAAATATTTCTTTGAATGTAGAGTCTTCAAACTTTATATATTGAATTATATTTTCTGTTTATTTATTTGTGTCCCTTTTTTTTTCTCTTCCTCTTTTGGAATCATAAGTTTATGCCATGCTTCTGATTAGCTGTCACGAGCATTGCAGGTGGGTGGAGGGTGGAGGGAGCGGTCGAGGATCGGCATGGCAGTTGTGTCCTCCTGGTTTTGGTGTTTTTCGACTTTGCTATTAACCGAGGCTGCCATCAACTGAGGTCATATCTTCAAGGTGTGATTGATGGATCGATCATGCTTTGAAGTAGGTATAGTGGTGGCATGTCGCTTGTGTTAGGGTGTTTTTTTGTAAATGAGGAGCAATTAAACCACCGGTCCCCCTGACGCAGAAAACCTCAGGGGTACCGGTAGCGCCATTTCACAACGGCTACCGGTAGCACAGTGTGGAAAACCGGGCGGGCCTCCGTACGGAATTTGCGACAAAAATTGAAAATAAACCAAATCGGCACGGCGAATATTTCGCCGTCAAAATGAGGGAACAGGTTGTAGACGTTTGTGCTGCCGATGACGTCCGAGTACCTTCGAGCTGGTGACGAGGTCAAAGTGTGGGGGAGGAGGGGCTCCGCCTCCCCTTCCCCACACCTCTCCCCCTCCATGTTAGAGGATTCGATGTAGGTGTCTTAGAAATGATCACACTTGTTTTCGTCATGCTTGTGATGATGTTCAAGTGTGTGACATGGAGTCCCAAAAACATCGAGGTCTTGCCCCGAACACAACGCACCCTAATTTTCACTGTATCGGGCGGGAAACATACCTCATATACGTTTATTTTTAGGGTGCGTTATGTTCGGAGGGGACGATGGTAGCGTTGCCTTTGGGTAACCCCTATGGAGTTTGATGCACTGCATCAAGTGAGGTATGAGCCGCTTACTCGGATGACTCTACCTCATTCACATATATGTCTAAAGACGGCAGTGTAGTGAAAGTTTCGTCATGCTTCTGATTAGCTATTGCCAACATCCCAAGTGGGTGGAGAGCGGAGGGAGCGGTCGAGGATCGGCATGGCAGTTGTGAATGCTTGGTTCTGGTGTTTTTCGAGTTTGCTATTAACAAAAGGTTGCCATCACCTGAGGTCATAGCCACGAGGTGTGATTGTTCGATCGATCACGCTTTGAAGTAGGTGTATTGGTGGCCTATCGCTTGTGATGAACAGGGGAACAGGTTGTAGATGCGTGTGCTGGTGATGACGTCCGAGTGTGTTCGAGCTGGTGACGAGGTTTAAGTGTGAGGGAGCGGGGGCTCCTCACACCCCCTCCCCCCCCATGTTAGAGGATTGTATGTAGCTGTCATAGAAATGATCATGTTAGTTTTGCTCATGCTTGTGATAATGTTAAAGTGTGTGAGAGGGTGGTAATGTTAATTTCCCAAATACGTTATTGGTGACGATGTGCAAGTGTGGGTGACCGGGGGCTCCGCTCTCCCTCCCCCACATGCTCTCCCCCGCCAATGTCAAAACGTGCGCACCTTATCTGTCGAGGAGATAACTTGGTCGCCAGTGTTACATAAGGGAGCGTTTTTTTCACCATTTCAGATCATACATGATTCAAGCATTGTAACAGTGTGGATGTTGCAAGCAGAACAACGTTTAGAAATGGTGAAGAAGAAGTCGACATCTTTGTTTGGTTATCTGGCAAGGGAAATGACATAGTTGCAGCATCGATTAAATATATCGAACGCGAAACGTGATGAGGTTGTGTTGCGTAGGGATATTCAGGTGCCATATTGATGACGACTCTATGCTCAAGACGCGTAAAAAAAGTGGACAAACTTGTTGCAAGCTCAGTAACGTCGAAGCACACTCTGCTCAAAACGAGTTTCGATTACTGTTGCATGTGACCTTCCACCTCCACACTCTCTGTGGAGCGGCAGAACTGTCCCCATCAATCAATCAAACGACACTTCCATAAGTCAATCCTACTAAGATTATGTAACCTATCACAGAGGATTCATTGCGACAGCATGGGCGTTGCAAGCCACGACTTGGAAAAATGGTTCTAAGACATTTTGGTACTTTAGCTGGCCAATAAACAATCCTGGAAGCCCAACCACTAAGTGTGGGTAGGTGCCCCTGGTTCAACAAAATAGGTTTCAAAACATTACAAATCTTGTTGTATGAGGCCTAGGGCAGCATACGCACAGGCCACATGAATGGTCGATATGCCTAATGAAGGGCATTTAGTAGGAGGATGTCAAATTTGCCCCCCCCACTCCACCCTCCTCCCCCCCAACCCATCCTCACCCACCCCGCAAGTTTTCCCTGTTGACTCCATGTCTTAGCAATAACTTATGAAGGAAATTGCGCATCTCTAACCTCGTTCGGCAAAAACTTTCATCGTGGGTGACAAACTAGGTTTGACAGCAGTCGTGATTTAACCATGTCCTCTCACACTAAGGCCCGTGCCAACCCTTGGGCTAATTTCCTGCTACTACGCAACATAAAATTATGCATTCTTCTTTCTTTGGACCACAACCTTCACAAGTGCATGAGAATATCATAAAAATATATTGTGTGTTCCAAATGGCAGAACCACGAACAAATCCAGCTTCTTTTCTTGTTTAAACTTTCAAAATCAAACTTAAAGTGGAAATTTATGGGCCATACCCTTTTGAGGACATCCATTGAAATTGGAATGGTACAGAGAAGAGTAGACAGGAATTGTTGTTAACAAAGTCCACCTGACTGAGAACGTTGACCATGTCCTTCCTGCGAGGAACTTGTTGGGGCCAACGAAGTGAACCTGACTGAGGTCCTCGGGGTAAAGGGCTTGAACCAACCACCCCGGGAGGGCAAGGAGTTGGCGCTGACCTGACTCACTCAGCAAGGCACCGAAACAAGACGACCACACCCGTTGGAGAAGGAAAGGGACACTTGCAGTACCCCTAGGCTAGGCAGGCACTGCAGACAGCGACATACATCTATAATGAGCATATGTACTCGATAGAATAAATGAGGAAGACAAACTGCAACACTGTAATAAAAACTGCAGTGTTAGAAAGCAGTGTCATGTGGATTTGCTTAGCAGACCTAACAAGCAATAGCACAGACCCTATGTACTTGTCTTTTTTTTTGTTTCCCTCCTTTATTTTGACTTCCCACCACACCAAACACTGAAAACCAAAGAAAATTCATACAGCCAGAAAAATAAATAAATTATTATGGTGTATCTCTCACATTTCCGGGTTTTACGTTTGGTGCACAATTATTATAGGAGGGGAGGTAATGAGTCTTAATGAATTCAATAAAAAGTATTAAAAGCAGAAGCGACCAATATATATCAATGGAGACCACATGTTTGATGGAAGCCATCAAATCAATACATATTAAACCACCAGTACCTCTACCAGCTACAAAAAGAAGTCGCAGCCGTTAACGCGCCGCGACTTTAGGGGGTCGAGCAAACGAACGCCCTGTTGCTGCAATTTATTGGGAAAAAAAGAAAGAAACAAGTCAAAATCCGAAAAGAAAACAAAAGTGAGTGTGCTATGGAGAGAGAGAGAGAGAGAGAGAGAGAGAGAGAGAGAGAGCTCACATGCGCGCATGCTGTCTACCCGCTTCGACTTTCTTGGAAAGTGAGAATGAATCTTTTGCATTGTTTGTGAAAGATTCATCCTCTCCAAGAAACTCCGTGCGGGCCGAGAGAGAGAGAGAGAGAGTTGTTACAAAGTGTCGAATTGATTGAATCTTACCTCCTTTCAAGGTAACATTCTCTCTCTCTCTCTCTCCCCCCCCCCGTGTGCGATAGCGAAATAGCTTCTTCGTTTTTTTTTTTTTTTTTTTT